TTATTTTTTGTCTCCCGTCCCGCCCCCCCCAATAGTAATCACACTTAATACATGTGAAATGGTATATAATTCTGGGTGTGATTTGCATTTTCCTAATGCCTAACAATACTGATCATCTTTCCATGTGCTTTTTGGCCATTTGTATCTCTTCTTTGGAGAAATATGTATTCGTATTCTTTGCCCATTTTTCATTGGGTTATCTGTCTTTTTATTATTTCATTGCAAGAGTTCTTCATATATTCTGAATATAAATTTCTTATCAGATATATGATTTGAAAATTTATCCTCCAATTCTGTGGGTTAGGCTTTTATTTTCTTGAGTAGTGTCCTTTGATGCACAAGATTTTAACTTTGATGGGAGTCAAATTTGTCCTTTTTTTTTTTTTTTTGCTTATTCTTTTGGTGTCCTCTCTCTAACAAACCATTGCCTTATCTGAAGACAGGAAGATTTACTTCTGTATATTATTCTAAGAATTTTATAGGTTTCACTCTTACATTTAGGTCTGATCCCTTGTGAATTAATTTTTATAGATAATTTTTATAGATAGTGGACTCTGGACAGAGTCCAGATCCATTCTTTTATGTATGGATATCTAGTTGCACGAGCACCATTTGTTTAAATAAGTAATTTTTTTTTTCTTCATTGAATGATCTTTGCACATTTGTTGAAAGTGGGTGCTCAGTTGGGTAAGTGTCTGACTCTTGGTTTTGGCTCAGGTCGTGATCTCATGATTTTGTGGGTTTGAGCCCTGCATCAGTCTCTGCCCTGGCAGCGTGGAGCCTGCTGGGATTCTGTCTCTCTTCTTTTCTCTCCCTCCCCCTCGCTCTGCCCCTCCCCCTCGCTCTGCCCCTCCCCCTCGCTCTGCCCCTCCCCCACTTGCACTACCTCTGTTCTCTCAAAATAAATAAATAAACTTGAAAGAAAATTGTGAGACTAGAGACACACACGTTTGCTTCTGGACTCTCCGTGCTATCCCACTGACCTCCGTATGCCTGTCCTTAATGCCAGTATTACGCTGTCTTGATTACTGTAGCTTTGTAGTCGGTTTTCAAATCAGGAAGTGGGATTTCTCTACATTTGTCTTTTTTCAAGATTGTTTTGCATATTCTGGGTGCCTTGTAACATTAGCATGTCCATTTCTTTTAAAAATGCAGTTGAGGGGCGCCTGGGTGGCTTAGTCGGTTAAGCGTCCGACTTTCGCTTAGGTCATGATCTCGCAGTTCGTGGGTTCGAGCCCCGCGTTGGGCTCTGTGCTGACTGCCAGCTCAGAGCCTGGAGCCTGTTTCAGAGTCTGTGTCTCCCTCTCTCTCTGACCCTTCCCTGCTCACGCTGTCTCTCTCTCTCTCTCTCTCCTAGAAATAAATAAAAATATTAAAAAAAAATGCAGTTGAAATTTTGATTGGGACTATTAATCAATTTGGGGAGTATCGCCATCTTAACAATACTAAGTTTTCTAATCCATGAACATGGAATGTCTTTCCATTTATTTAGGTCTTCTTTAATTTCTTTCGGCAATGATTTGTGGGTTTCAGTGTACAAATGTTAACACTGTGAAATCTATTACTAAGTCTTCTATTCTTTTTGATAGTATTATAAATGGAATTGTTTGTATTATTTCATGTTCAGTTTGTTCATTGCTGGTTTATAGAAATGCCATTGACTTTTGTATATTGATCTTATATCCTGTAGCCTTACTGAAGTTTATTATTAGTAGACCTAATAATCTTTTTTGGAGTTCTTTAGAG